CCTTCCGGTCGAACCGTGCCAAAACGCCCAAGGATCCAGAAAGGTGAAAGCTTGCAGCAAACATCTGATCAACAGCAAATCTGGTCGCCTAAAAGGGATGCTGAAAGAGCTACAAGCAGCATTGGTTGAAATTTTTTCGCGGGGCAAAGCTCCGTCCTCCAAAGCTAAAAGGCTCGAGCAGACCGGGCTCTCCCGGGGCGAAAAAAACTTGCAAGCGAAACGCATCCCCAGAAACCACGAAGACAGGAAGCAGACGACATTGCCCTAGAGGCCCCTTTGGAGCCTTGGTCTCAAATCCGGCGCATAACTATTAGGTTTGATAACCTCCCTGGTCACTCAGCTTTCGGCTGCTTAGATAGTAGAATGTTGAAATGCTTGTCCACAAACTGTCCCAGCCATTTCAACAAACTCGGAGATGTTAAACAGTCAGCTTGCCTTGAACAACCATCCATAATCGCACTCCCAGAGACCTGGTTCACACCAGTTGTCTCTGATCTGACACGGTCGATAGACGGTTACTCTATTTTTCGAGCTGACTCGAAACGAGAGAGGTCTGATGGGGTTACTCTGCACTTATATGCAACCCAACCTATCCCGATTTTCCTCTCTGATACCACTTCTGGACCTTTTTGCGATGCACTGTAGGTCCAATTCCCGCTGCGCTGGTCCGATTCTCTCCTTCTCGGTGTGGTCTACCTTAGACCCTCTAGTCCTCCTGAAGATGACCAGTTCCTCATACGAACCTTTGAGCAACTCTCATACAACTACCACTTCACGTATCTCCTGCTGGTGGGTGACTCCAACGCTCCGAAGGTCTCCTGGATGGGGCTCCAGCGTGTCGAATCAAGCGGAAATTTTGCAGCGGCGATGATTGAAGTGGTTCAACAGGGCACTTGGACTCAACATGTCGTTTCACCCACCAGGAACCGCGCAGGCCAACTACCATTCTTCCTGGAAGACACTTCGTTGATCAGGTAACAATTAACGTCCCACTGGGACAAAGCGACCACTGTGAGCTGACTTTTGATTTCATCTGCTATTGGGCTAGAAGTCCCGAACCTCAAAGTGGTTTCGAGACTTCTGCCGTGCAGGCTTCTCAGGAATGCGCATCTTCTTTGAACAAGTCACATTGGGACCAGCTCCGGTGGAAGAACTATATAGGACCATTGTCCAGGAAGTCCACGAGGCTGACGAGACGTTCGTCCCCAAAAAGCCAGCACGCACTCGGATGAACCCCAGGCTGCCAAAAAGGATTCGGCAACTTCTGGAAAAACCTTTTTCAAAAGGTATATCACAGGGGATACAGAAGATGAGCTGGCATTTCGTAAAATGCGGAACCGCTGTGAATCAGAAGTCCGCCAATGGAACATACGAAACCAAGCCACCATTCTGGACCTCGCTCAAAAAAACAAAAACGTACTGTTCAGGTACATGTAACATTGCCGCAGAAATAAGCCATCCGAGTTTTCCTTGAGAGACAGAAACGGGGAACCAACATATGACCCAACAGTGGTATCTGAGGTTTACAGAGAATGCTATGCGTGTCAATACTCAGCCTCAGCGTCTTCGTCACATCCACTCTTGTCAAGGCGAAACTACGAACAGCCTCTAACCGACCTGTTCTTCACGGTGAAGAACATTCGTCAACTCTTGCATCAGATGAACCCATTCTGCGCGTTGGGGCCCAAGGAAGCGATCGACAATAAACAAAACTGGTGACCGACTATCGCCTGATAGTTATATGTCTATCAGCCTTACTGGCGTGCCATGAAAGGTGAGGTGATGCAATCTAAAGCGAGCTATCCTAGATAACCTTATTTCCAGCATTCTGATATCTCCAGCCCAACACGGATTCCACCGCTTGCATGAGAAACATGCTCGTGTTTATGGACAGCTTAACCCGAGCCAAGGACGAAGGACTCATATCGGACGCCATATTTTACGACTTCTCAAAAGCATTTGATAGGGTCCCACAAGTCCCGCTGCTTACACAGACTCAGTCTCACCGGATTCAAGGGAAAGTCCTTCGCTGGATCAAGGCGTTCCTATCAGACAGGTCATTCCGAGTGAGAATAGGGCCAACCTATTCCTCTCCAGCGCCGGTCTCCATTGGAGTTCCTCAAGGCTCTGCCTTGGGACCACTCCTGTTTCTGATCTACGTCAACGACCTCCCAGACGTTCTTGCGAGTCCACGTTTCCTTCTTGTGGAC